AGAGCCTGAAATTTTAATTATGTCTGGGSTAATGCTAAAATTAACTTTTGAAATTTTCGGACAATTTAGGAACCAAAGAAATATTCTACATAGTTGCACGATAGTAGCATTGCACACCAACAAGATACTTCATAATATAAGTACATGAAATTATTTTTATACATCTAAATATACACAAAAATAACTTCAAAACAAGATGAACATTATTAATTTGCGGTTAAGTAATATGTGTAACCAAAATCTTACAAAATCAGGTATAATCTGCACGGAATCTTAAGGAATTACGAAGGATTAAATGAGAATACATCTATCGATAACAGGTTAATTAATGCGAGCGCACAACAGCAGAATTGCTTTTTACAAACTTATAATTAAGCTTTTCAAATATTAACTGTACCAAAAACAAGAAATTTGYTGCTTTTCTTGTGATAAAAACACAGAAAATATTTATAAATACTCGAGTGAAATGTCGAAGTAGCGCRAGCCAACGCAGAGTAAGTGCATTTGTCTAAAAAAAATACAATGTTTCAAAAGCTGTCCTTTTGAACGATTAAGTGATATTGAATTCTGAAGTCTTCAAAAGCTTGTTATTCAGAGTCGACTGTGAATCAAGATATTATTCTACTAAATTTTAGCTTAATAACAATGTACTATTGAAAATACTATTAAAGATACCTTGATAATATCTACGTTAGGGTCCAGCAAGATAGAGTATATCAATAAACCCACACTATAGCTTAAGTAATGCTATTTAGAGGGATGTACTTCGAATTATAAAAATACTCTTCAAGTTGACGGACAAGTACGTCCAATCTGTCACGAAAAATGAAATCTTGMATTGTCTGTGTTTTTCATTCTCATTTTTCATTCCAAAAGCTACCCGTCGCAGGGAAAATAGACTAGATTATATACAAAAACGAGTATTTTAATTTTTATTGTTTTAACAACCAATGTTAAAGCGAAATTGAACTGAGGGTTTATGCAATCAAACGATTAGTTTTACGATATGAACAAATAGAAGAAGAAAAAATGTCAACGCAATTTGAGAATATGCAAACAACTGCTAACACAACAAGTACATATTAAGGCAAAGCTTACAATGAAGCAATAAAAACAAAATAATTATAATTATAGTTTTAGAAAACGCACCTCTAAATGCACAAAAAGGTTTAGAAATCTCGTCATTAAGGATTGAATTGCAAAACAAAGAAAACGCTTAATTTTGTAGTTTGCATAGCGTCCAAACCTGAATAGCAATCAACATACCTGTCCAATATACTGTAAAAGGGCCGTAGTTTCCAACAAGTTTTACAATTGTCATTTTCCAAGAAAACGGGAGCAACTCTCTCCTTTATTTCCTCAAATCCCAGAATTTTAGATTGCAGCCAAGTGCTAAATCTTGGCTTAGGATGCTAATGTTTTCTTTTGGCTGTATTTTCAACATGTGACCGATAAATACAATGAATAATTTATGGCTTTGAAGATTTTAATAAAGCATTAAGTTTATCAACCGATGGAAACAAAGTTATCATCGGAAGAAGACAATTTTACAGCAAAACATCTGCCTTAGAGTCGTTTAGGGACAATACATAACAATTGTTTTTTTTTTTCTTGTAAAACAAAAAACGCATTTATAATACTCATGAAGAGATGATTCAATTGAACGAATTTTCTCTATTTGAATAATATTATTCGTTTCAATGTGATTGTTGTACCTTTTTACCTCAATTATAAAGCGAAATTTAAGTTCAAACGACAAAAAAGTTATTTATTGCTATCGTGCTTGGAGTATGGTGATGTTTAGGRAACGTATATCAACAGAGTCTAGAAAAATCGATGAAAATGGCGKTAATAACGCACCGTTAGTCGAGTAGTTTATCGCATTATAGCCCAATAGTGCAATCGATAGAGACTGTGTAGAGGTCATACTGTTATTACCCGGAATAACTCACTGTTCAAACACAACAACACAAACAACACAGCACCTTATTACAACGCGCGCCGTACCTTGKTCTTCCGCGTCAGAATCTTCTTGTTCATTCTCYGATCCTGTAGTCTTAGCTAAGATCTCTTTTACTTTATCTTCATCTCCTTTCATATTAATTCTTTTATCCTTCAGGTAATGGGGGGTATCTCTTCTTCGAAGCTTCTCGTGTCTCTCGGGGTGATCTTCCCCTTCAAACCGAATTCTTTGATGYTCATCATCGGAGTCTCCCTGAAAGAGCGARAATTTTGTACTGAAAATATGATTCTTGGTGAGTTTAATCCATCTAGGTTTCATGGTTCAAAAATTGCCCTTGGAATTGTAAGCTCTCCAGAGAAACGGAAATGACCGAGACTTGGCAGCTGAAAATGTGTTCCAATATCGGACACATTGAAATACGAGGGAGTGGTGTGAAGTTAGATTCAAAAATTAAGATCAACGAACTGCATGGTTTTGTTAGAGGTGTGATGCGAAGCTACCATGAGAAGTCGATAATTATGTAAATAAAACTACTTCATTCTGCTCGGCGTTGATTAAACTCTTAGCTGTTAATCAGTCAAGTCAATCCTTGTAATATATGGTTGATAACCGTCACTAATGTTTCACTAATCCAGGAAGTTTGTTCCATTTTTTCATGTATCGATGAGTTCTTTCTTTACTCATCTCACTTTGCTATTGAATTGCTATTGCTTTTGAATTCCAATCCATTCAGTTTTCAATTCTCTACTATTCGGTTTTTAATTCCCATTCATCCAGTTTTCACTTCTCAAACATTCATTTGTTTCTACTTTCTATTTCAAAGAATGTTAAAGTTATCTTAACAACATCTTTTAGTAAACCTATAATTGCTAACCTTTTCGCCTTCAGCTTCGTCTGCATCGTTAGCAAACCCAACAACGCCTCGCGGTGGTAAAGTCACCTCCTCTGAATGTTCCTCCTCGGCGGGTTTGTCTTCCGTTGTGTTCTCTTCAAAAGCAATCTTTTTGTGTTTCACTGAATCTGAATCCGAAGCGCTTTCTTCATCCTGGCAAACAAATTAARATCGTATTGGTCAGGAGGCAAAGTCAAAAAATGTGCTTATTTTTCATTTTTTTATAAAGTTCTGAGTAGAAGCAGGAAACAGGGCTTAAAATGTTCGTCTGGAGGTACTGATCAGAAAAAAATCTGTTTCCAGCTTGAAAAACTTGAGAGATCTTTACATTTTAAGTGTATATAATATCGGATTAATAAAATACTGYACCGTGAATGACCGGCCATGTCTCACTGCGCCATCAGCAGCACCAGGATGTGTTTTGTGGATGACACGTTTAGGATGACGTGCCTTGAGGTCTTTAAACCTTGGTGTGTCATGTCGTATGAACTGAGATGTCTAAAAAAACATGAAATCTCAATAACAATTCAACCACTTCACATATTACCCAGTAGTACTTTGCGCGCGCAATTTAAGCTTAGAGCCGGATTATTTCCACAAAATCCTTAATTCTCTCGCTGTTGARACATTCATAAATCTTATTTTATTTACCTCACGATCATGCTCAGGTCCAAGGTCATCMGCAAAATGAATGCCTCCTTCTTTAGGGGGGATTTCTTCCTCTTCATCCTCCTTAAAGTCTTGCATCATCAAGTTATCCATAGCGAAACCATGRCTAAGGTCGTTAGTCAGCATTTCTAATTAAGAAACAAATCCTGGTAAATTAAGTCTCCTTCGCGAGGAAGTCATTTAACAACAGCAATGTATTTCATCTATTTTTGCGGTTACTCCCTTAGTAAGAGAAAACGTCGCTACGAGGTTTTGCCGAAGGTAAGTAAACATGTTCGTGACTACCTCGTACACGTTTCGGATGCATTCCGGAATAATTTCGCCAGGCCGATCGTAGTATCGGCTGACTTAATGTTATCTTACCTAGACTACCCATTCCTTGTTGAGGCAACAGAAAACATGTCAAAACTTTTTCAGATTGTTCATCGTCATCTGTTTGCAGTTTAAGGATTGGCTGGGACTAAAGGAAACACAAAAGTTCAGTAAATCCACAGTGCAATGCGTAATGATATTTCGGAAGTTCGTACATTCATTCATTCATTTATTCTTTCTTTCATTCAAATTATCAGTTGTGCGTTTACTGTACCTGGTTTTCTGACAGCCACAAGGCACTAAGAGGAAGGGTACCAACAGACAGAGGAAGAAACTCAAGTCTGAGGAAAGAATCAAAACCAATCCATCAAAAAACATCTTTAATTATAATTCTACATTCTTGTTTTCATAAACCATAAGATACTCACCTATTTCCAGATACATCTACAACATGAAGATTACGACAGTTTCCAATCTCAGATGGTAGTCGCTGTAGTAAGTTGTCTCGTAATGACAACACAGTTAGCTTGGTGCAATTACCAACCTACATATAATACACATATAGTTTGTATTGAGCCTACTACAAAATTTGGGCTTCCTGTGCTCAAACATCACAGGAAGCCCATTTATTACAAAGTACACAACAGGTAGCCCAACTCATGCCGTCTGCCTTACCTCAACTGGTAAAGAAACTAGTCGATTTCTATCTACATTTAAGAGAGATAATTTGTGGAGTTTGCCAAGTGTTGAAGGTATTTCCTGAAAGAACGTACAGAATGTTTAAGGATAAGTAGAATTGGTCAAATTAAATGGTAACTATGGAGCAAAACTAAAAGGAAAGCAATCTACAATGGAAAAACACAAAAAATATTTTACCTCTAAAAGATTTTCAGTTAAAATCAATTCAGTTAGTCCTATGGATCTGTAAACAAAAACAGACACTTAAATTATGTGAACTTTTAAAAAAGAAATAGTTGTGAATAATGTTTCTAAAGTAAACAAAGCAACAACATACCCTCCAATAGCAGGAGTTAGAGATATAAGACGATTTTGGTCAACTTTTAGCAACTGGAGCTTTTTAAGTTTTCCTAATTCCAAGAACATGACTGATTAGCAACAATTCTCAAAGAGGTTAATATAT